CAGAAAAATAAATGATCAAAGACATCCACCTTGTGTTTTTTCATTTTGTGTTCACTGTACTTTCAGTCATGGTTTTCCATAGAGGACTTCATATTGCAGTGAAAAATGAGCCAACAGTGAGCAACGAAACTAAATCGTGTTCACAGGTTTAAATCTTTCACATTTTGTAGCTTACTTGAATATAAAATAACTATTTTATAATGATTTCACATGCTCATGAGTTTTTTATGTTTATCTATAATGCATTTAGGTTACTGAGCGGTAACAGGTAGAGAAGCTGAGCTCAATCTCTTCGTTTAACTCCAGTCCTACTCTCATTCCAAACTGAAAAGCCTGGTGCAGCACAGTAACATCTGGAATATCACACCTCTGTTGTAGTTGTTCCCATTCAGGTACTCTGTCACTGAACGAGCAGAAAATAGTGATTCGATCGTCGATGTCATGCTATTAACGTACAAAAGAAACACGAATAGAATTCAATCACAAGAAAAAAAGACAGAAACGTGGCTGTTTTTTTTTACTTCACTCATAATGTGATTCGGTTCATTTTGCTGAATTTAGATATAAGGTTATATATTAAGTTATTTAGAAAGGAGCTGTTTCACCTTTTACTATTGCTGGTATCTTCAGAGCTGCCTTTTCTGATTTTGTGTGTTAAAAAATGTCTGGTAAGAAAGATTGGACATCATGTAAAAGTGAAAAATAACTACTTTTTCAACTACATTTATTATTTTGTCTTACAATATACGAATACATCAGAAGGTTAGTGGACAGTAAAACAAAAAAAAAGGAAAAGAACTCAAAGAAAACGTACAAATAATAAAAATTCAGTGGTAAACTAGACTTGTGGTTTTACGTCTGTGACAACCAGTGAAGCTACAGTTTGTCCAACCAGACTCATATCACATGTGTAGTCCCATAAAATATGAATAAAACTGATTCTCATTGAACACAAAGTTGCTGCAATGACAGCAGACAAGTGGTTCAAATGTGGATGTTGCTGCTAAGAAGCTACACATCTGGAAATGTGGATGCTTCACTCATATATTGACCTAAATAGTTCCAGGTGTCACCAAATCAGACGTGAAAAATGGTGAAATAAGTGTGAAGTCGGCCTTTGACCTTCACGATTTAAGGCGCCGTCACATCGTCGTTTTTACCCCGCTGGACAGCTATGTAAAGTTTAGTCATAATTAACGTGTGATTTCTTGAGTCCCGGCCAGAGAAGTGTCTCATAAGGTCAGACGTGACCCACGGCATGCTAAATTTACTCTGTCAACACACACACACAAAAAAAAAAGATGTATTCCTGAAATAATGCCCTGACAACCCAATAACATACTGTCTCCGACCACAGCTGTCACCGGCGAGGAGGCATAAAAACAATAATTATATGTTGTGACAGCGTGTATAAGTGAGAGGAAGTAGTGCGAACGGCCTGCTGTGTGGCTGGCCTTTAGAAATGTGCAGCGTAATGAAGTAGCAGCTGTGGACGGTCGTTTTTGCTCCGCTGATCGCGCCGAACAGATTATAACTGAGACTATTTTGATACACCTTTAAACATATATTACATTCATACGTGTGACTTCTCAAAGAAATGTGACACTACCTGTTTTTTGTCACACAAAATGAGCAGTTTTAGCAAATTTCTGGTCATTTAACAAGACATATTTCTTTATTTTTTGACGCTTTGACAATCCTTGTGGTCCTAGAGTCCAAAAAAGCTTCCCAAGTCTCGCTTTCCTTTTCACCAGCAGTGACCTTTTGGTTCATTACTTTCTGGTTTCAGTATTTACTACTTATGTCAACTACTTCCACGTGAAGGGAGCTTAAATCCCTGCTGAGTATTAGCCGGACCTATCTGCACAGGCTGGGCGTCAGCGCTGGAGGCTCGATAACGGAGAACCTTAGAGCTGAAGCTTGCCTGCACTTTAAACCACAGATTTGCGAGCTGTGTGTGGTTCTTGCAGGAAAAGTAAAAGACGGACAGTCAAGAAGCTTGTGTGAACGGATCGGTACATTAGTAAAAGTGAGAAGATGCGGCATAACAACTTCAGCATCGACGGTGGAGCATCAGAGCCCTGCGAGACTCGGTTTGGTGGTCCAGCAACTCCAGTAAAATCAGATCAGCGACGTAGATAAGCCACTTTGAGCGTGTAGCGTGCTAGCTCAGAGGCTGTCGACGCCACAAGCTCCCACCAACCCCACAAAGATGGCTCCGCTCCACTTACACCAACCTTGCCCCCGTCCGCGTTGTACTCCTTCTCGTCGGCGTCCAGCAGTCGCGCCAGGCCGAAGTCGGTGATCTTGATGTGATTGGGCGACTTCACCAGCACGTTCCGAGCCGCCAGGTCCCTGTGGACCAGCCTCCTCTCCTCCAGGTACATCATCCCCTAAAAAAGAGAGAGAGAGAGAGAGAGAAGAGGGGAAGAGATGACTATGGATCCTCTGGTGGAGCCATTCATCATCTCATATCTCATGATTGAAGCAGTCTGAGATCTGCGATGCGTTAAATGTCAGCACTAACATAAAATTATTGTCATAACTGTCATCATCATTAACCGCACACCCACGCAGACATTTAGATTCAATCCTTCATCGTTACCGTATCTCATATACATGCTCTCTGAGAGTCCTCGGCAGCTTTGGCAGCACTTCAGGAGGTGTCAGAAACTTTATTTTTTTGACACGCGAGAGAAATCCATCAGACCTGCCTCTCGAATTCCAAAAAAAATAAACTTTTTTTCCCTGTGAGATGTGAGTGATGTGATATTTCTTGTCTTCTTTGTCATGCGTGACCTTTCAATCAACATGTATTTAAAATGCAGCAGTGAGGGTAAACCTGGACCAAGCAGAACTCGAAGCAGGTTCTGACCGTGTTGTGCGCAGCTTCGATATTTACTTCTTGAATCCAATCTTGTTCAGTCATAACTGAGATTGTTTCTCTGACATGACGCCGCCATGTCCTCGGTAATTGGGGCCATTTTCAAGATGGCTAGGCAGGAATAACAATGGATGCCCGACCAATTTGTTAAAGCTGATTGTGAACACCCGATGAGCAAAGCAAAGTAAGAGGAAGGAGGGAGCGGGGGGAAACAAACAACAAAGCCTTGGGTGGAGAGAATGGAGAGAAGTTTGCAGCCTTAATTTGTCGCTCAATGGTCTGGATGGAGCGGCGGAGTCTTGACAGTCGAAGACGCATTTTTCTTCATGAACGCTCGGCAATCGCAGAAACACACGTTCTCCTCACGCCCTTGTGAGCGCACTCGTCGAACAACAACAGCCAGACGTGGGGGCAGGCAGACGAGCAAGGCTGGGCCAATTGAAGTGTATTAGACTGGATGTTAAACAAGTGGATGCCACTTGGCGGGCGGATCAATAAAAATACCTCGGTGAGGAGGGAGGCAGTCGCCGTACTCAGCAGACAATGAAAAATTTTAACCAAGGTCCATGCCTCCGATGGTGCGAAAGAATTATTGCCCATTTGAAATACTTAGTATTGTATATATGTGTGTGTGTGTGAGCACGCTTCGAGGCGCATTGTGTTGAAATGCTCGTCGTAGCGAGCTGCCCCCTCCACCACCGCCGCCGCCACCTCCTCCTCCTCCTCCCAGACGAATGTAAGGATAAATCGATAGCGCCCACGTCTGGCTCGCCGCTAGCTGAGCCCTCATCCATCATCCACCGGCCTTGCGGAGACAGACACACACACACATGCTGACAGAGACCACCCAGAGACCACCTATACGCAAAGCAAGACATACAGTATTTCACAGAGCATGCTTGCAATATTTCTATCTGTCATTCTGTCTTTTCTCTTTTATCTGCCTACACTTGTTTTCTGTCTTCCCCCCCTCTCCCCGTTTTTCTATGTTGCTTTCCTCGCCAATATGAAGACAATGCGCTGTGACAAGGCCACCGAACACCCCTCTTTTACCGAAAGTGTATTTAAAATAGATTACTTCTGGGGGTTCGGGCAGGCGATCAATAACAATGCTGATTACAATAAGCCCGAAGACGACCGTGCCACGCAATATTTATCCCCGATGTCGACGTCGAGAGAAATTAGGAATCAATGGCCCACACAGTCCATTAATACACTTCGACTTAAAGTGACAGGGCAATGAGGGGAGGCCATCGCACTGACAGCGGGAATGTACAACAGCTCAAGGAGCCAATTAATTTTCAGCCACTGGGCGGTAAACACCAGCGTCCCAGCGGAGGATGTGGTGGCAGCCACTGTTTCAGGTCGAGAGGGTCCTGCTGATTGTGCCGCTTTAACACTGCTTAAGTGGTAAAATCCCCAAGAGTCCTGAGGTCCACAAAAAAAAAAAAATGGAGGGCAGATGGGATAATTTGTGATTACATAACCTGTAGATCATGCAAGAACTTGCAGGGGAAGTAATTAAAGCTGCCTTTTTACGTCTTTTGGGTTGGAACCGATGGCGCAGCACTGCTTGAGTCTCCGTACTAATCATGCACAACAATGAACAGCCTTTGAATGGCTAACTGGTAAAGACGACTCTCTGTTTTCAACCTCAAGGCTCGTTTTCCGAGAACTTGACCAACAACACTGGCCGATATCGGTGTGTCGCAGATATATGAGAGTTGTCGTACATGGTGTCTCGTATACAGCAACACGAAAAGTTTCTTTAACAGAACACAATACGGAAAAAGTTGCTTGAAGTATTTCAGATAGTTCGTCTAGCAGAGAAGTTCCGACTTTCTTTACAGTAATCTCAGTACTGTCTGCAGCACATGTAGCAGAGCAGCTGATGGTGCCGAGTCAAGCTTTGTGTTTGCAGTAAGCTGCCAACGAGTTTGTCAAATAAATCGCTGCAAAGCTAACAAACAAGGACCCCGTTCCTTTTCATTTTCAACATATATAGCAACAATATTGGCAGACATGTTGGATTTTTTGGTCAATAAAATCAGTTTCGGCTCCCAAAACCCAGCATTGGTTGGACTCTATGTTATATGGTTCCTTTTATTACTCTAACATTATGATCATCTAATGCATTTTTTAAAAAAAGGTCGCCTTGAAGCAAATTGCGCCGCAAACTGCGAGTTGCCGCGGCATCTTGAATAAACAATACAGCAAGTGAAGTACCTGCCTGCCTGCCTGCCTGCCGAAAAAGGCAAAATCACCGTGTGCTCTCCCTCAGCTATTATTTTTTTTCTGTGAAGAAAGCAAAGCTGCCTGCTTCAGAGGAAGAGCTACATTTGGCGCCGAGCACCACTCCAAATGTTCCGCTGGGCTGCTGCACTCAAAGTTCAAAGTATACGTGTATACGGCTGACCTTTAAAGGGAGGAGGATGTTCGCAATGATGTACAGAAATGGAGGGGAAAAAAGCATCCTTGCTTAGAGTTACCTAACATGCACAGTGAAACACTGAAAACATACAAATCCCATTCAACGTTTCCCTGGTTACAAAGTAAAAGTGTATGCACAAGGGCAAGACAACATATTGACACAAATGAAGCAACAGTTATGTCCATTTAGTTGTGAAGAGCAGGTTTGCAGACACTCGCGACGTGCACGAAAGGCTCCTAAAGTTCACATCGGAGCCCTTAAGCACTTGCTGAATTTGCAGCAAGACGGACCTAAGCCCTTGTGGACTTAGCAGAAGTGCATCTTAAGGTCTGTCACAATGTGAGATCGAACAATGAGATTGCAACATACAAGCTCGAGCAGGGCGGCTCGGCGAAGGAATGTAAGGTGGCAGAAAGCATGAAAAGATTTCAAGGACATGTGGCTACACTCGCTCAGAACTTGTACCTATAAAAGCCCTTTTTTTTTCTCCCCCCCCAAGTTATTGAAGCAGTTATTGCTTCTTGTGTGACACAAAAATAAAAAAGACCTTGACAGGTAGTGGGAACAGAGCTAATATACGATGTGTCAAGGGTATAGCATTTATGAATTCCTATTTACTGAAGCTTTTAAAGGGACACATTAACTAATTAATCCTTTAGATCTGCTCATTCTCTATATAACCCGTGTTGCTTAATTCGAATGGCATGTTTGTGCTCTCATTATGCAACAAAATCTCAATGTTCACATTAGGTCAGAAGCAGATGAATAGTCACTGTCAACAACAGCAGCAGCGGCGTTGAATACATTTGCCCGGTTCACGGAAAAGGCCGCAGTTTCCAGACAACATCCACTTGAACCCTATATGAAAGGTCCCATGAAGCTTTTTTTTCCCCCCAGCAGCTCTCACAGCACACCAAAAGCTTTGGGAGCCACATGCTACAATAGAGCATTAAGGTTAAGGGCCCGGCAGCATCCGACGTGACACTAGGGGTATGTTTGAAGCCCTCGGAGAATCAAGTGCTGCTACAGTACGGTGGTTGGAAATATTTCACATTTTATTTCAGCCCAAAAAAAACACTGTAGTCCCTGTAACTTTTCAATAGCTGTTTAGCCAAGACCTTTGCAAAAGTCGGAGTGTGCTTTAGGACATGTCAGTATTGTCACCCGCTAGATGCTCTCCGGTGGTCTGGGAATGTGCTGCAGACATTCAGCACTGGTGGTTTTTTAACTGACTAAGCTGTCAGTCCGGCTGCTACTTGTTTCTAATGTGATTTATACAAGGACAGACGTGCATCTGGCAATGTGAGACCCGTGGACAGGATGTACACAATGCAAACTTCGATTTTTTTAAAGTTTCATGAGGAAGAAAACACTCTTTTTTTCCCTCCTGCAAGACCTCAAAGCCCCAGTGTGTTTTAGTGACTAACAATAAATGTAAACATGACTGCTCTTTCAAGAAAACTCCACGAGACACCTTCTAAAATCAGGACTCGGGGAGCGTTAACCTGCGAGTAACCATGGCAACAACTCTTTATGCTACTTTACCCCCGTAACTCTCGCTCATGATACAAACAAAGCCGTGACCTGAACTGAAGGCAAACAGACTTCTGAAAATCAGAAAACGAGAGGAAGCAGACGTGCACCACAACCACAGCCACGGCATAGCATCCACCTGGGTAGTATTCTCCCCCTTCTGCTGCCATAAGAGACCTGAGCCATCGAGGTATGGACTCTGGAAGACCTCTGGAGGGGGTGTTAGCAGCAGATCCTCGAAGTCCTGGTGGAGGCACCTTGAACACATGTTTCTGAAACCGTCCCGAAACTATATCTTGCTAGAAGAGGCCATTGGGGGATACCTCCTCAATCAAGAGGTATACGTGGTCTGCCGTAATCTTTAGGTAGGTGGGACATGACAAACTAACATTGCCTTCGTCCCGTCCTTATACCACCTCTTCCCCAGGTTAAACACGCTACTGGCTGTCGACATGATACCAAAGAAAATGTGAGTCATCAGAGTTTCCCGTTGCTCCGTTGTCCACCCTCAAGCGCCCAAACGCCTTCCAAGGCTCGGCAAGCTG